CTACAATCCGTTCCCCGAGACCCAGGTCTTCGTCCACGAACTCCAGGACAAGGTGCGTGGCTCTTCCCCCCCCCGGTGCCATTTGGTGATACTCAACGCACACGTTGCACTTGTGCAGATCGAAATCATGGGATCGCTGCAGCGACCGAAGAAGATCACGATGGTGGGCAGCGATGGGCAGGAGTATCTGTTCCTGTGTAAACCCAAGGACGATCTCAGGAAGGACTGTCGCATGATGGAGTTCAACACCATGATCAATAAGCTCCTCAAAAAGCATCCCGAAACACGACGTCGCAAACTTCGTACGTTCAGCCTTCCATTCGCACCCTCCACTCGACACGTGCTGACAATTTGTGGTGTATGTGTTGTGTCGATGTAGGAATTCGAACGTACGCTGTGGTGCCTCTTAACGAGGAATGCGGCTTGATCGAGTGGGTCCCCAACACCACTGGATTCCGCCACATCCTCACCGCCATCTACAACGCCGAAGGACTAGGGCTTGCCGTACACCAAACTCTCTGGCGCTAGCGCTGCAATGCTTTGGCGCACCTGTTTACTGTTATGTTTCGCGTCTCGTGTGCGGGTGTGCTTGTGTCACAGACCAAGCAACTGCGCGACGTGTGGGGTTCCAAGATGCCAGCGGTGGAAATCTACCGGGACCACGTGCTGCCGTTCTACCCGCCGGTCTTCCACAAGTGGTTCCTCAAGTCCTTCCCCGACCCCACGACCTGGTTCGAGGCGCGCCTGGCCTACGCTCGCGCCATCGCCGTCATGTCCATGGTGGGCTACCTGGTCGGGTTCGTGGCAGCACTCCCTCTTCACGGATGAGTCTTGCTTGCTACCCAGCCCCTACGCTCACATCCATTTTGCTTTGCAGATTGGGAGATCGCCACGGAGAGAACATCCTGTTCGATTCCACCACGGGCGAGTGCGTGCATGTCGACTTCAACTGTCTCTTTTGGCGTGGCCTCACTTTCGAGAAGCCCGAAAAGGTGAGTAGTTGTGTGTGCTCCAGTGGTGGCTGTGGTAAGGTGTTGCGCACTAATCTCGGCGGCGCACATAGGTGCCGTTCCGTTTGACGCCGAACATGACGGACGCGCTGGGTCTGACCAAGCACGAGGGCGTCTACCGGTCGGTGTGCGAGCTGACGCTCCGCGTGCTCCGGGACAACAAGGACACCCTCATGAGCGTGCTCGAGACATTCATCTACGATCCCCTCGTCGAGTGGACCGCCAAAGGCCATCGCTCCACCGTGCGCGCCCTCATTTTCCATCGAAGTTTTGTCACAACTTAAGTACTCACGCGCGGGCGCACACACGCAGAGCGCGGCCACGGGGGAGACCAACAACGAGAGCGCCGTGCAGACGGTGGCTGACATCGAGCGACGGCTCAAGGGTCAGGAGAAGTCCTACGTGACCCTCTCCGTCGAGGGTCAGGTCCATACCCAGATCAACGAGGCCATCTCCCAGGACAACCTCTCGCGCATGTACATCGGCTGGGCGCCCTGGATGTAGGTAGTCGTGTTCAACGCTCCTGATACAACTCTGCTCTCGCCTTCTTGGTTGGAAAAACGAAATTTCCTTCGGCAGAGTCATCTTTTCGCCTCAACACGGAAAGGCCGCAGATCTGAGCTTGCTCATCGCCGATTGAAACGGCTGTCTTTACCTTGCACTACTTCCCACACGTGGGTGTATGATCCAACAATGCAGAGCGGTGATGGAGAGGAAGAGGAACAGGCTTCGGCCACCCCCATGCCACTGCGCGACACGTCGTCATCTTCGACCAGCACAGGAGGTGATCGCCCTGCCGCACCAGTGAACCTTCCAGCTTTGGTCCCCGACGAGCCAGAGAGCGAACCAGTGGAGCTCATCAGGTTTCGCGGTATTTTCCCTGAGCGATTTGTCTTGCATGATGACGGAATGATTAACGTTAATCATGATTTCCTTCATTGCCGCAGAACAATGGAGGACTGAGCTGAAGCGAGAGCAGAACGACGCTGCACCTGAATTTGCATCAGCAGTCTCAGCAGGGCGTGCAGGGAAGCAGGCCGGCCCTGGTGAGAAGCCGAGGGCGGCAGTAGAAGAGTGGAAGAGGCAGAGAGATCTCGACAGCAGGAACGTCCTTCTTATCTCGCGAGAGAACACCGAGCCTCTGCCTTTCGCCGTCTCCGCCGACGAGCCGCTCACGATCCAGGCCTTTGCTACCGTGGAGACACTGCACATTGGGTCCATTCCAGACGAGGTACGCCCGTCCTTCTCCTTGCTTCCTTCTTCGCTTTGAGATTGCACTTATGCACAGCACTGCTGATCCCTTCTTGTTTGTTTGTTGTTGGAGTAGGTGTTGATTTACTTGTTCGGCTTCCTGGACGCGGTCTCGCTCGCGCGCTTGGCTCTCTCCTGTAAGAAGACCTACAGCGTGACTAGAGAGCCGGTGCTGTGGCGCCTCCTCTGCCAGCGGTACGTCGTACGACCCGAGGATGCGGCGTAATCGAACAAATGAAACGAAGTGGCGCTCACCGACCACCTCACCCTCAGAATTTGGCCTCTTAACTGCACGCGAGGTGTCTACCAGCAGTTTGGCACCTGGCAGGTACTATGACCCGCCTCACTCCACCTTTGCACTCATCAGCGCAGCAGCTGCTGAGAACGTTTGGTTTCGCAACAACCCAGCGCATGTTCTTGACGAGGCCCAAGGCAAGATACGACGGCATCTACGTCAGCAAGAATTCCTATCTGCGAGCAGGAAGCACAGAGTGGGCGTACAATCAGCCCGTGCACCAGGTGATCTACTAGTACGCTCCTCAACTCTCTCACTTTTCTAAGTACTGTCTCTACCTGACCGCTGACCGCTGACTGCCTCTTCAAGTCGCTATCTTCGTTTGATGCCGGACGGGAGGGTTCTGTACGCCATGGCGCTCGAGCAGCCGCGCAAGGTGCTCAA